TGTGACTATCCCAACTCATTTCACACAGAGCCTTACTGCAACACAGAAAGGAAACTGCGTTCAAACACAGAAACTACACGATAGCAGCTAGTGTCCAATGCATTGCACCACCAATCTAGTCCACAATTTTATTTTAAAAATACAATTCCTTTTTAAATAATATTCAAATAAAATGACTTCCAATTCAGATTTTTTTAAAAAATATATAAAATGATTAATTTTACTTATTTTAAATAAAAAAAGCTTTCTTCGCAGAATTTATTCAGTAATTAAGCGAAAGTAAAATGTGTATAAATCAATGTCTATATACTAGAGGGAATAATGACTGAAGTCATGATCACTGCACAAAAAAGCAAGTAAAATGGCCTTGGAACACCTCATTAAGCAGATGTTAAATGACCAGGAAGAACCCAGGCATGCAGTAGCTACTGCAAATGGACCCCATTGCTAAATATTCCATCTTCTCAATTCCCCACAGTGTGAAATGTGAACTAACCAACAAATGGCCAGTGTGCTCCATTTCTCAGGAGGCGAAGGAGGACACAGCTGTGCAAGGGGATATAAAAAACAAAATATCCACTAGTTATTCATTATGCAAGTTTTATAGTGTAGGCTCGGGTGGTAAAATACTGAAGGCATTTATGCTTGTGAGAACTGTCAGTCGAAGCAAATTTGCCTGAATATCATGGCAGCTCAACTAGGTAAAAGAACAAATACATCATTAAAACATGGATACCAGGTTTGTAAGATACCATGGCTTCCAAATGCTGTGAAGAGCTAAAATGAAACTGAAGTAACTGATTAACCTGACGGCAATGTAAAACCAAACGCATCGGGATGTTTATAACTGTTATTTGTGATTATGGTTTGTTATTTTTTTAAAAATTAAAAATAGCCCTCCAGGGAAAGTCACCTTCTGCAGATTTTAAGCTCAAAAGTATTAATACATAACCTACATGCTTTATTTTTATGGAACAGGTCACTTTTACAACAAAACAACCCTGGTATTTATTAACGCCTTACACAGTACTCCAAAGAATTTGTTACAGATGTGCAGTGGTTCCAGTGGTTGTTGTATGCTACCAGTCATTCAAAGCCCTCACCTCTTACACTTTGATTGCTGGAAGTAGTAACGTGTATCATCACTACGCTACTTGACTGAGTAACCTGGCTTTCAGAGCTCAAAATTGTGCTGCAATATTAAGAAATATTGCCTCAATTTGACTTTATCCCACACTCGCTTTGTTGATTAACCAGTTTCTGTTGTTCAAATGAATTATACTGGCTTCTGTCTTCACCATCTAATTTTATCAGTGGTTCCACAAATCATCTTTATTGTGATGTCTCGCACTGAACTGGAACACCAAGTAAAATTGGATTTTTCTGAAATGAATTGCTGGAACCGTTAATCTTTATCTAAGGACTGTAATAACTGTTTTGTTTACTGTGGCAGCTGAAAATGTCTTCAGCATTGCCACCTGGCAGCCAACACATGCATTCATTAAGGAAAGAACAGAAATATTGGGAATTGTTATATTAAAAAAAATCCTTTTTGGTAGCTCAGGGAGATGGATTTAAAGCTCTAATTAGAGTGTAAGATACAGCGTTAGGGTCACCTTGCTTCTGTGTCCAAGTCTGCCATCACCATGCTTCCACTGAACTGCTACAACACTTTGATTTCTTTGAAAGAAATCTCGAGTGGGCTTTATGAACTAGTTATCAAAAGGGAAGCCTTCAAGTGTAGCGCTGCAACAGAAGCACTGTCAAAGCAACGCCAATGTTTATGCTGATCGCATCACCTTAAAGAGACATTAACTAGTAAATAATTTTGTTTTGTTTCCCCAGCAGATGAAGACTATTTAGTCCCCGAAACGTCTGCATTCTCAAAGGTTCCACTTCAGCATAGTCTCTGCTTAACCTTCAGCACTCAGCTGCTGTGTTTTACAGGCAGTTTTGCTGCACATAGCCTGGGGAAAACCAGAAACAAAAGGTGTTACGGGAGTTTTACTCTCTGCACTTCTGAGTTTTTGTTGAGGTGAGATTTAGCAGATCTAACCAGCACCTCGGAGAATTAAGCTTGAAGCATCCATTTCACTTCACACCGCCCCACACTTCTAAGACATAGTTTAATTTCCCTAAGGCACATAGTTACAGCATAGTTTGAAAATAAAATACAATTCCTACCTTTATTTCTTGGAAAGATTAAATGCAATCATAATCTTTCCTTCTTCAATTTAAACCTGTACTAATATCACCAAACACACATTTAATTTTATTACAAGTTTGCTTTGGTCATTGAGTATATTTTATTTCCTCCACTTTTTTTTGTTCTTGGAATTTTGGGGGAATTTATCAGATTAGCCCGTTTAAAAAAAAATCCCACTTCATTCGGTTTCTGAAACAAGAAAGACAATCTGATGTCATTTATTCCACTGATGTAAAAAAAAGTGGCAATGTTGCTGAATATTACTTTAGATAAAAATTTTCACTACACTGCTGCAATATTTAGTAGTTGCTATCTCACCCCATCCCCCTTCCATATGGTTTCCAGTCTGATCACTCATTGAGATATTTCAGACATCCAGACACTCGTAGTTTTCCCAAGAGAAACATAAAACCAAATACTGCAGCCCAGGTCCCTCAGCACACAGGCAACAGAGAAGCTTTAGGTCACCAGCAGTGTATCTAGCCGGCTGCAGTGCCAGAGACGCGTGTGTAAATCCAACCACACAAAGCAGCCAGCTTGTCTGACTCCAGACAGAGGCCAGCCTTTTGTGAATGTGTATTTATTGCTCTCAGATTCTGTGACTGTCAATGACTAATCGTCCACAGTGATCGATTCCATAGCAGCACAGAGAACTGTAGCAGAATGGTTTCAGACCCATGGCACTTTGTGGTACCCAGTTCAGAGGTGGTCTCTGTAGTTAGCTATCCAGCATGATCCAGAAGGCAACCTTGGTTGCAGCATCCAATTTCGTGGCATCCTCGGGGGGCATTTATTCAAGGAATATGATCCTGAGATATATAACTTCACAGGTCAGTGTCATTCCTCGCTGGGCAGTAAATTTACCAAGTTGGGCAATGTGAGCATATAATGAGATTTTCCTACTCTAAGACCACATCTCCAGCGTTGTTACATATACTGCCCGGTGGAGAATAAGATGTGCTTGGCCCCCAAGGAGCATCACCAGCTCCTCTCTCTCCACTTGTGCACTGAAATTTTCATTCCTACAGCAGGTGCAGGGTTGGGGAACAAGCAGGATGGGATCCGGATACTGTCAAGCACTGTTTAGAGGTTTGCTTTAAAAGAAAATAAGTTGAGTTATGTGTTGTTGCGTTAAATTTCTTTTAAGAGAAATTGTTCTGAGCTGGAATTGAATTCTCCGTTGTCAGCTGCATAACCTTAATATCTAAACTAAACTGCTTCTGAAGTAGATTCTTGTACTTTCAAGCAGAAAGCACAGCAAGGTTACTTCCCAATATTTCCAGCCATGCCTGATGGTTAGGGGTTAAGTCCTCTTGTTGTATGATCCCAGCTTCTGTGCCTTTAAGAAGAATGCTTTAAAAGTCCATATGTGGAGTGAACATTTTCTGAAGATGAATTTGTTGTATTTCTTATTGCTCTTCACTGGCAGAGCAGCCTAAAAAACATTGCAACTGCAAATGTAAGCAAATGTTCAAATACATTGTCTACACATACTGTTGTCTAATACCACACTTTTGCCGTGCATGCAAAGATGTCAGTGAGCTACAGGTACATTTGGGTTGTTAAGTAAGGCTCAATACAACCATTTTTGTCCACGCTTTTGGTCATCTTTCCCCTCTCACTGGGCTGCCCACCCCCATCTAGGTTGCCGAGCCAGCAGTACGAGATGTTCGCCCAATGTAGAAGGCTTTGTATAAATGTAAATATTGTATTCTTAAAGAGGCAGTGCCATTGAGAAAGAGTTTTAACAACCTTTGTGTGGGAGGGATGAGAGGCAGAAAAGATATGTCATTCATGTCAGGCACAAAGGGCTAGATGATGCATCTTAACACAGTAAACATTGACACATTGCATGTTTGTGAAAATGACATTTTGCTGAAAACCTCTATCATGGAAAGTGGTGCCCTTTAAAACTGCAGTTCAGCAACATTTAGGTTATTATGTCTGGTCATTTCTTTTACAAAGTCTATCCACCCCATCTAATTAATCTCTAGAGAGAACCTTCTACTGATACTCCCCGATGTAAATTTTTTTATTATTTTTATTTATTCATTCCTGCGTGCCTATCATTCAATCCTGGCATGTCATACTCCTCAGATAACAAGAACCTCAATCCCACCACATGGCTTCAGCAGCAGAGAAAGTACCACATTCTAAACACCAGTTGCATATATTCCTGTAACTTCTCGTCCTATTTCCAACCAAAAGTTAGCCAGATACAAACAAATATCCAAACCAGACCAGGTGTTCCACATATGCATGACACCTACACAAGTCTGGAATGGCAAACTCACTCTCTTCCTGGAGGGATGCATCTTGCTTACTCAATTCCAGAGAGTATTTGGTGCAAGTTGGTAAGAGCTAAGGCTTGGGGACCCTAAAGTGTGCACTGAGGTACTGATAAGAGTTTAACCAGCTAATACCACATAGCTTGTCATTAAAAGCACTGTCTGTCCAGCTTCCCTCTGGTTGTCTAGCTAGGCCAGGCTTATTACCGACCACAGAATTAGACAGCTCCTTTGCAAAGTAATTAATCAACTCAGTCTCAAGTGCTTTGAGAGTATCCCAGTTAAAATAATATTCATCATTCAAAACATCAACATTGGCATAGTGTAAAAAGGAAACACGGTACAATGTAGTTTCAGACTATCATACTGTAAAAGCTAAATATAGCAAGAATCCCATTATATATAAGTGATAAAAAATTGCTATTTTTAGCTTTTGGAGTATGATGACCCTCATTATTTTGTCAAACCGCCACCTGTTGGGAAAACTAAAATAACAAAATACTCACAGATATAGTAATATTCTCGACCGGGCCTGAATTCAAATCCTAATGAAAATGGAGTAAAGAGCTGGAATTTTTCAGAGAATTTTAGTGGACCATTGGACGCATGAGGCCTGTTACACTCCCAACGCTTGAATCCTTTGGAGGTGTGATCACACGATCTGTAGCCATCAAAGTTCACCATGTAGAGAACGTAGCGCTCCGTCTTGTCTTCTGGGACAGAGTCCTCATAATGAGGGCAGAAAACATCCAGGTAGTCATTGATGCAGACTTCAATGTGGTAATCACCCTTCTGGAACCTATAAATATAAACATTTAAAATAATGGGTGTCATTTTACCTTTAAGGAGCAAATAGTAGCGTACAACACCACAGCGGATCCTCATTATTAAGACAGATGAGCTATGAAGCACAGTCAGAGACATTTTCAGCACTAAATGAGACCACTGTTGCATTTGTGACTCGTCTTTTCCCAAGTTGTCAATTTTCACTAATACCACTTTCTACCTCTTTCTCCCCAACCTTTGGAATATGAGGAACAATGAGTTAAGCTAGGGCTCTGCAAACTCAGACATTTCAGTGAGTAGCCTTTTTTGAGATATTAAATGGAATAAGGAAAGTAAACCCAGATCAATACTTTCATATAAGCCAAGGGAAAAGGACAAGAAATTATAGGTTCAGGGTTGTGAAAGGCAATTTTAAGACAAATATCAGTTAGTATTTCTTTATACAAAGCACAATCGAAAGCTGGAACAGGTTAAGAAGAAGGGTGATTGAGGTTAGGACACTAGGCTCATTTAAGAAATAGCTTAATTCTGCAATGAGAAGACGTTAGGGAATTCTGGATAAATATATCAAATGTAAGGATAATTAAATGTGAACAAAAGGGTCTTTTTCATCCAAAAGGGGCTTTTTCATCCAAACCTCTGTCAACAGCTTTCAATAAGGAAAAATATCCCTTTTACAACTGCTAGGTATTTAATATCATTTGCATCATGATCAAGATCAGGGGAGCTTCCAAGCTATGAATCTTTTTACACTCTGTGCTCTCTTCACATCAGTTTATGAAATTATTAAAGAGGGAGTATGAACATCAAGACCCTTTTTTCAAAAAAAAATGGCCTAGTATTGCAACTAATTTCACTATCCTTTTGTCTAATTCTCTCTGACTGTTTGCCGACATTTTGTCATGTTTTGTTGAAAATATCGAGTGACATATTTGGAGGAATAGGGTGCGAGCAGTTACCCAGACCATTTACTGAGGCCAGTTACCAGTTGGCTTCAGTACCTGCTCCAAGCCACTTCTGATCATGATATCATCGGCACTTACTGTTTCCATGAAAACATTCTAAAACTATGGCAAGTATTTTACGAGAACTGAAAGGAGCAGTTTAGCTACTAATAGCTAAAATAAACAGGACTATTTTTTAAAGGGTATTCACTACTTTAAAACTCAACCCATCTCATAGCCCCATATAATCTGGTTCATTTCGCCTAAACTCACTTCATGGGTGTTTGTGAGACATTGCTGTGTGTAAATTCACTGCCACATTTGCCTACAAAATACTCAGTCACTACTCTTTACAGTAAAATCCTGTGAAGTACTTTGATGACTTAATAAGATGCTTTATCAAATACAAGGATTATTCTTATGATTATATTACAAACCTACCAGCATCTATAAAATGGAGTGTACTGCAAGAATTCAATGTTATCACAATGACTGTTCTCCTCCCCCGCCCCCTCCCTATGATCTGTTATGCAATCGTTTTCAAAACCAAACCTTTCGGAGGTACCCATGAGATATGAATATTAACACAACTATGTATTAACTTGGGAGTGCTGGATTCTGGACCATGTCTAAAATCAAGCAAAGTGATCGCAGGTAGAGCCCTTATTTGCAGGAGATTTGCAGATTAAGCCTTTTTGCTTAACTAAACGTTCACTGGAAACATCAAGCCACTGACTAATGCTATCTCTTAATTCCCACATCTAAATATCTGGCATTTGTTATCATTAAAGCAATGGACACCATTAAATATTGCAGCCCCTGCTTGACTGGGCACATCTGCATGAAAGCCAGCCATGAAATTTGGCTTACAATACTGGCACAGACGCCTGTGTTAGCAGATAATGATGGCTCTTTGTGGTACACAGCAGAATACTCCAATGTCACTCCTGAAACGTGGTGTACACTTTTCCATGTACCTGCTATCCAGAACGACTCATCTGAATTGACCCCAAACATTCAAACATCTACACGATCCCGAGGAAGCAGACCGAGAGCCCTTGATACTTAAAAGATGTGCATAGTAACCTGGAAAAATAAGTCCCTCAGCAACTTTAGACATTCAGGAAAATGATGGCTAATGGCCAAGATGAAAATCTGAATTGACTAAACCTATTCTGAATGTAATTAAATTAATTTCCCTCTTGTATCCCCTGCTGGAGATATCAATGTGCCTCTCCCTCAGCTAATGACACTTTCCATTATTTACTATGTTTCTTTATATACACTTCTCATGCCCACACTGGTATTTTTAATACTCCACTTAGACTTCTGCAATAATACTGTACCTGAAAATGGAAGATCACCCACGCGAAAGTTACTTGTGCACCCCCAGCAGCATAAAAAAATTAATTGAATCACTGTATAATAAACCATGTTATGGAGTTGTATTGAAATGTACTTTCAATGGCCTTACAAATGTGCTCAACATCACCCTCTCATGCACAAAAGATGCACAAAACATATTGACTATGGATGTTAGTTAATAGGATCAGCAGTTTTTACTAATGATTTTTGGGTTTCAACCATGAAATTCTCCTTTTACTTGTAAGCCAGGGGACACACACTGAATGATTAGAGATTTGTCCACTTAAATATACAAAATCTGCTCCAAATGGAAAGAATGCATAGTGGGCCTCAGGAACTGTAGTTCTAAAGATGCACAATAGGCAAAAGTGATTGAGAAAGCTCTCAACAACTAGTGGTGGGCGCTGAATGTCTTTCTCACACATGCAATAAGCTACAAATACGATGCTTACCTATTGCAAATCCCGCTTACATATAGCTGTGGGATTGATCAATCTTAAAATAATAATAACTGCATCAAAATGAATGATTTTAATAAGCAATGATACTCGAACAATCCACGGCTAATCTATAAAGTCACGGGGAGCATTCAGCTCAGAATTTTTTTTTTTAAACGGAGTCCAAAGGCTTTAACTTCACGACTCAAAGCAGAGCACAAGTGCTTAAATATGTGTACACAGGAATGTCCCACAATCAGTTTGTATGCAGCACTTTCCAACAAACAGTCACAAATGATCAATTTTATCTGAGGGATTGTAAGCCAGGACATCGGAAGAAACGCCTTTCTCTTTTAACATTCAATTGAGCAGGCGGACAGAACCTTTTTTAACATATTATCTGAAGGATGGCACCTCTAACAATGTCATGCCCCCCTCAGCATTGCACTGGAGTGTCAGCTTAGACAATGTGAGTTCAAAGTCCTGATGTGGGGCTTGAACCCACAACTTTCTGACTCAGAGAGTGCCACCAGGCTGACACCCTAATAGCACGTTTTAAAACCTGAATTTCACACCACTTTCTCTTTCTCCACGCTGAAGGCACTGACTTGCTGAAGAGCAAGTCCATGGGTGCTGTCTGGCCTCCAGCACTTGCCCAGGTGTGAGCTGTGGCAGTGAGTGTTGGCAGCCTATTCCTCTGTCCAATGCAGCAGAGCTCAACCTGATCCCTCTCTTGACTGACACATACACACATTTTTCATCAGTGGGTCACTGGTAATAACAATAATTCAGAGCAGGAAACGTGGCTGATGTTTGCCCTCCCTGGCGTAGGAGTTCAGAGGCCAATTTCAGTGCCCTGACTGCTGCTCAGCTCAGAGTGGGAACTGAACCTGTGACTATTTGGTTTCTGTGACTTAACGCTATAACGCTTTTGCCCTCTAGGCTATCAGGGAAGCCTGTGTTGTCTGCATTCTTACTGGGTCAGTGTGCAAAAAAATCCTTAAATTCCAATAAATCTGCTTCAGTGAATGGCCTCAATGGACCCAATTATTCTATTAACTTTACCCGAGTGTGAAACAGACAGTCCACAGCCACTACTGAGCTATAATTGTTAATGCTTATCCAGTGCGAGCACCTGGTGTTTCTCCTTTTTCTATTCACTGTCGTAAGCTAGTCTTCCATTAAGCTAAAGCACTGACTTTCTATAATGAAACCAGAGGCCACCACAGAAAGAGCTGCTCTGTACTCAGATTCAAACCACAAATTGGGTCTGATATCTCAGCGTGTGGACATACACAGCTGGTTCTAGAGAGGAGAGGAAGTCCATTTAGCAGCGTGACCACGATTCAGATCTATCATTCGTTGGGACAGTGATCTGCTCAGTGTTCTCTTGCAGGACTGGAGGAGGCACGAACAGCTACCAGAGCACTGGCAAGTGTCCCAGAAGCCAAACCAGCAGTTCATTTCTCAAGCTGGGGGAAGTGTTGGGCTCACACACTCGGCTCTTCAGTTTTCAAGTATATTTCCTTAGACACACAGAGATACATACACACACAAGCAGACACATGTACACAGAGACACACATATATAAACAGACACTCACAGGCACACAGACACGCAAACACACACAGATAAATGGAAGTACCGTACATAGCTATCAATACAGTAATGAAGTTGCTTTCCTGTTCTTTCTCCCATGGGTTAACCTACTTTCCCGCCCATAACCAATCCCTCTTTCCCCTCCCCCATCCATCCTACTCGTTACATGAAAAATGTCAATAATGAAGAACAAAGAATGCATTTGTGTTCACTGTGTGTGAACAGTTTGACACAAATCCCTGGAAAATGTCAGCGTTCTGTTTCATAATATAACACCAGTTTCATTTTACACAATTCAAATAATTGCCCAATGAAACGTGCTGCTGCAAAGCATTCAAAACAGTTGTTTTTGGTTACTGTAAAGTGGGTAACTATGCAGCATGGTACTTGTCCAGCTAAGGACCATCCTTCTCATTAGGGCTTTGGGTTGCTCGGTTGAAGATACAGCCACACCCCCAAGTCTGGCTTGGATTACTGTGGAGTTGCCAATGTTTACCAGGTTAATGCCCTCTCACCCCAAGCCCCAGGGAACCCCACTTAGAGTCATTGCTCTTAGAGGTTTTGGTTTCTCCTATGACTGTAAATAGTAAAACAAGTCAATGTTTTAACAAAGGGATCGTCTGCAGACATGTTGTCGGTGTGTGGGTGCATTATCAGTAGAGCCCTCT